GCACTTTAAAAGAAAAGTCATGCTCCAGTCTTTACAAATGATTACTGCATAACTCAACTCCTAGAAAAAGGAATTTTTAAAAGAACTCTGACAACCTGAAAAAAACTATTGAGTATGATGTTTTCAATCAGAATAAGTGTGCACCTTAGAGAACAGATTGTGTAAAGCAGCGAGGGCCGCAGGAGTGAAAGGTGGAGGCCTGCTGTACGTGCAGCGCAACAGGCGGGACAGTGACTCATAAACAGAAGCAAATCATGCTCCTTGTTCCAAAGTGTGTCTCTGAGACTAATCACTGAACGCATCACACGGCAATTGCTCTTACAGAAGAGAGTTTTACTCCAATCCGGCCCATACATATTACCTTCTATGGTAATTTGTACGGGACCATGGTAAGATCTAGTGTAGTTTTAGATCCAATGCAATTTCATAAAGGGTTGGTAATAAAAAAAGACTTAAAGTAATCAATGCAGTACTTAAAAGTATCTGAGAATTATGAAAATGTGGGAGGACACCTCCTGAGCATGCGTTAGGATGTGAGAGGGGCCACATCTTCTCTCAGAAGGGAGGACAAGGCAGTGCTGAGCAGCTGCTCAACAGCGAGCCACCAGCCAGGAAGGAGAAGAGCACAGACGTTTGCTCCTTGTGTAACGTTCTTGTAGACAGCATTCCAGGAAATCTTACTAAAATGTAATTCAAAACTATGAGTTAAATTCCAGTAATGACTGTGTACTCCCCCCCCCAAAAACGATTTTCCTCTCAGAAATAAAATCAGGAAAGTGACTGAGTTCTGGTAAGAAGAGCTGTGGCTGAGTCCAGACACTGTAAGGGTGGATGCCATCTCTCCAGCCTGCCAGGTGCGGGACTTGTATCCCTGCATGCTACTTTACAGTCTCAACTATATGAAATATCATTCAAGTAATTTGTCCTTGGAAAAATCACAGGAGTCCAAGAACCTTCTGGGGCCATCCAGTTTTTGTCCTTCAGTGCCCTAAAGTCAGATAAGCTCAGCATCCAGAAATATCCTTTGATTTGTTCTTTCTCTGATATCTTGTATCCTTGGGATCAAAGCCTCTTTCACTGGCACCGAACAATGCCCAGTGAGGAGTTCTGGCCATATAATCCTTTGCACCAAAGGTCTGTGACCCGCCGCTATCGTCATACTGCTGGATGAGCTCCTGGAAGCGGTTGTAATTGATCCACGTCCACCATTCTCCATCAATCTTAAACTGGAAACAAAAAGAGTTGTCAGGTCAGAAGTGAAAACATCCATAGAAAAATAACAAATAAATACCAGAAAGTCACTAATGAGCCTGATTTGGTCCTCTCTGTCATGTTAAAGAAAACTCTTCCATATTCCAGATATGGTGTCCTATCAAAGCAATACATGTTACAAGTCAGAGGAGAGTCTTCCCTGGGCACTGGTGCCGTGCCAGCCTGGAAGAACCAGCTGCTGAACAGGGAATTCTGCCTGGAACTGGAAGTCAAGCCAGTTAGTCCTGCACAACATCACTAACAGACGGTTGACTTCTTTGGTGTTATCCTGTATTAATGGTCAAGCTAATTCTAATTCCCCCCTATTGCCACTTTTTTATTGGTTATGATCTTCATGGTTGTGATAGCAGCGCCTAGTGGAACTCTTTTTATTACTAAACTTTGCTTGTTATTAGTAAAGCTTTAATCAATGACTTTCAATCCTGAAATGCTAACTAAATGACTCAAACAAGCCTTTTAGCATAACGTGAATAAAATATCTCATTAGTGGAAAGTCTCGTTAAGAATTTCAGTTCAATAAAAGGGAATAATCCAATTTGTACTCTCTTAAGGAAATTGCTTCTCAAAAGTCACTGTGGAATAATGACCTGGAATGAAGAAAACAGAAAGCAAGCTGAAGAGGCTCTGAAGGAAATACTAATTGAACTCTGAAGGCTTTTAATTCAAAGCATCTGTTTGGCATTCATTTGTGTAAATGCATACTCATATGTTATAATATGTTATAAAAAGACAAGTATTTCTGCTAAACCACTGTCTTTTTAAACTCTATAAAGCAAGTTAAGTAACAATTTCCTGTTCTAGCTGAAAAAAAATATTGAAAACATATACATTCCTGAATTTAAAATATTAAAATATGCTGCATTTAAATGACAGATTTTTTTACTCAACAGCTAAGAGCCTTCTAGTGGGAAAAAATGCCAAATAAGTGGGAAAGTTTAGTTTACCTATGAATTATGAGAAGTTTTCTTCTAATAAGACCATTCTTCACAGTGGTGCCCCAGGGGCTCTAGGATCTCTACAACCTGGGATGTAGTATTTGTATCTTGCCATCTCTTTCCCTCCCAAGATTGACTGTCCCTGGAGTGCTCTCTACTACTATGGAAGAAATCACTGTTATTCCCAGCCTCAAACTGCAGTCAAAGGCAACCTCCCTTTCCCTGGCCCCTCACATCCCAAAACCAGCTGACGCTGTCAATTCTCCCTGAGCAGCATTTCTGCTGTCAGTGAACATCGCCCTAATGTAGGCCCTTCCTTCTGGGACTTGGCAATCGTCTTCCAACTGATTGGTCTTCTGACTCCAGTTTTGGCTTCTTCCAACATTTCTGACTGCCTACTATGCCTTCAGCAGAACGGGTTCCCATCATCTAGAACATGAAGTCTAAACATCACATCTGCACCTGCAGGCCCTTCCTGAGATGTCTCTGTCTGATTAACACCAACGTATGCTTCAGGTCTCCACGTCCTCTGCTCTGGGAAGTCTTCCCGAATCCCTTTAGACTATGACAGTTCCCCTGCGCAGGACCTCACTGTGCCTCAACTTGCCCAAGAGTAGCACATTAGAATCGCTTCTGTAGTTACCTCCCCAACTCTACCCTCTCCTACCAAGACACCGTGAGTGTATCTGATTCACCAGTGATGCCGTGACTCAGGACACACACACAAGGGCCCAGCCCCTTCCTCCTTCCCTCTGAACAAAGCTACAAGACCATACAATGACAGAGATTCCCCATCTACTGACACTAAGAGACATGATGGGACTCTGCTACTACCAGCTCTGTGAAACAGGATGGGCTGTCGCAAAGAGTATTCATGGAGGAAGGCCTGACCTCACACTTGAATGGACGTGGGGTGAATTCCCAACTAGTGCAGGAGTAAACACGTTGTTAACATGTATATCATTAACATGCATGTCAGGAACATGCCTCCTATCAACATTCATGGAACGCCAACTAAGGACTTGACCCAGTCACAGACATTTTAAAAATAATTATAAAACAACACTGCATGTGCACTGGGAGAAGCTATGCACAGAACACTCTGGGAGAAAGACGTGATCAGTCGCAATCACCCCCAGAAGCTCGGCTTTGCAGAGAGTCCTCTTGGGGGCTGCCAGCTTTGCTTGCTGAGAGGAACAGATAACCATATTCTCCTCTTCCCTAGTTGTTACCCTTTTGAGGATTAGATCTCTAGGTCTGAAGTCTGAGCCCTCAGGATCCATAATCCTGGTCTTTCTCCTCCCTCAAACTCTAAGAGTAATCCCTTGCCATGGATAGTCTAAGAGGAACTGAGGGATTAGTTTGGACTAGAGCAACAGACTTAAGTTTTTTATACCACAACCTACAGTAAAAAATACATTTTATATATCTCAATATAGTACTTGCACAAACACACACTCACTCCCACATATGTATGTACACAGGAAACACAACAAACTATATGCAATGCATTTCATTTTTTAAAAATTGCTGGTTGCAACCCGCTACATTGATTTCCTGACTCCTGATGCAGTTGAAAACCTCTGCCCTAAAAGACCTGCTCTTTTCTGATTCTAAAACTCTACCCTTCTTAATTCAGAAGAAACCAGTTGCACAGATATGGCAATTGTAAGCTACAATCTGACAACTAACTCTGATTCTCAATATCTAAGAAAGTAACCTGGAAGACCAAGTAGATGCAGCACAAAGTAGTGTGTTTGTCAGCTTGGGCTGCCATAACAACCAACCATAGACTGGTGGCTTAAACAACAGAAAGTTATTTTCACATTCTGGAGGCCAAAAATCCAAGATCAAGGTCAAATTTCCTGCCAATTCGGTGTCAGGTGATGGCTCTCTTCCTGGCCTGCAGACAGTTGCCTTCATGCCATGTCCCACAGGCCTTTTCTTGGTATGTGTACATGGAAAGAGAGCAAGTGAGTGAGCTCTCTGGTATCTCTTCTTATAAGGACACTAATCCTTCCTATCAGATGAGGGCCCTATCCTTATAACCTTATTTAACCTTAATTACTTCCTTAGAGGCCCCATCCGCAAATACAGCCACACTGGGGGTTAGGACCTCGACATGAATTTTGGGGGGACATAACTTTTTATCAACAACAGTAGGTTAATTTCAGAGTAACACTAAGCTATCAGATCCCAAAGACAAAACTAAATCTATATATGCCCCCTCTCAAGACAATCTGAGAATAATCATACTGAATAATAACAGATGGCTCAGAAAAAGTTAAACTGTTTCATGCAAAAGGCAGCTAAAAGGGCAAATTTTTACTATGGCACGAATTACACTGAAAGACAGCTGCATAAACAGAGCAATGAAACCATAAATCTCATGCAATTTGAGGTTAAGCATGCTGAGATATGAGGTCACCCTGCTTCCAGAATTCCTCAAATCCAACAGTAAGGGAAGATATAAATCTACGAAGAATTACAAATAAACTCAAAAGGTCACAGATGATCTCAAAAACACACCACAAGCGCAATAAGGCACAACCCTGAGTAAATACGGCCCTGCAGCCCGGGATCTGCGGACCTGCTGGAGGAGGAACCAGCGTGGGCTCCCACTGTCTGAACAATCAAACTGCCTCACAAAGGGTCTGATCATTTCTTCATCTTTCACACAGAAAAACTTCACTGAACAGTGTAATAACAATGTAGTTTTTTTATTATTATAAATGTTTTAAAAGATTCTATTAAAGATGATGAATTAAAGACATGCATTTACTGCACTGCCTCTTAAAACCCCACTCAAATGATGGTAAGGTCATTTAAAAAAGACATGTAACCTATAAAAACAAAGACATCAGGAGATGAGTAAACAGCATCAAACTTTTAGAAACTGAAAAGATAATGGATGAGCAATAACTGACTTAGCAGATCCAAAAGAGCAGAATCCTAAGCCAGCAGACAGAGAAATTCAAGATGCAACCCAATTTATGCTCAGAATTCCCAAAAGGCTCAGAAACTAGTTGCACCAATCACCCTTGGAAGTGGAGGATGAGGAAGCACCAATCCCATTCCTCCCTCAAAATCCAAAGATTGGTTTATATTCTGTTTGAGAAACTGTTTGAATCTTAAGTTCCTGACCCCCTGCACATATAACACATCTGAGCACATGCCCACCCCACGTTCCAGCAGAAGACTGTAGGTTTTTTCTCAGAAGACAACATAAGAGAGGATCTATAGCCTATGGGATAGCAGGTGAGGACAGGGCTACCACACTGAGAATGGGGCATTAGAACAGCCCTATTCCTCTTCCCACTTCCTCACCACCAGTGGACACGCAAGCTGTGCAAAATGAGAAAACCCTTCTGACCAGCCCAAGAGGAAAGAGTGAAAGGTACTGGAATTTGGGGTTCCCTAAGTAGAAATGGCCCAACTAGATCACTCCGAGATAAAGCCAAGCCCACACCCTGGGGACTCCCAATCTGCTCTCTAGTCTCCTATTCTCAAACATGAGCAGATAACCAATGACCATCAGGCATCTGAGGAGCTCTTCTAACATGAAGGAGAGACAAACATAAACCAAAGAAGAGAGTAAAAGAATAAGCAGTGCCTATGCAGGCAAAAAATGATGACAACAACAACAACAAAACAACTAAATGGAAACAGCTATCACTGATGGCCTCAGAAAAATAAGATACTGTCTTTATAAAAAGTTATGCTACAAGAATGAACATTCAAGCAATGAAAAAGATCTCAGATTTACAAAATACGGGAGCAGAAATGAAGGATTCATGAGAAAGAAATATAGAAAACAGAAAAGAAAAAAAAAAAATTAAAGAACTAGTCCAAGAAACCTAGAAGAAAAGAAAAAAGAAATAGAAGGGAAAAAAATCTCCAACAAAATAAGTCCGGAAAAATTTTAAGCAAAGGTCACAAATTTCCAGATTAAAGGGTCCACAATAGATAAAAATAGAAACACTTTCCGAGGCATATCACAAGGAAATTTCAAAGCAGTA